TGCACAGCAGCTCGTACCTTTAATTCCACTCGATAGCCAAAGTGGAATTCTGTCAGTATTTGGGGATTACTCGGGTATCCATTTATTCCTGTGAAGAGCAAGGAGGAAGCTGGGCCAGAGCAGAGCATTGCTAAGCTTGGAAAGTTGCAATAGGTAAATACTTTCGCAAAATAGCCTGTGCACCTTCGGTGGAATGATGAGAATAGCATTATGAACCGGCCTAGAGCGATGCAGATTTCCTGCTCAAAGCGTGGCCGTGCCCCTCCAGTCACGCTAGCAGAGGCGACCTGAGCGAAGGAGAGCAATAAGCAGTGCTGCGGTGCTGTGCAGAGGGAACGTGCTGCGAAGGACGGAGGGAAGAGGGACAAATGCTGACAGGAAAGATTGAGGGTAGGAAAGAGGCTCCCAAATGACATGCTGATGCTGAAGTCAGTTGAACCCAGGCAAAATCCCTCTACAAATTCAGCTAATGCATAAAAGGTTTTTTTTTTTCATTCTTGGGCAAAGCTTTCTTTGGGGAATGTTCAGCTGCCTTCGGGCTCTACCATACTTAAGGAAAAGGGAAAATTTTCCTGTATTTGCCATGGAAATGACAGAAGCCCCCTCCTGCTGCGGGACTGAGGAGCAGTCCCAGCAGATGGTGCTGTGATCCTTCCATTGGGCAAATTATTTCTCTTTTTCCACTGTGCAATTTATCATCAAATCTCCAAAAGCAAGGATGGGAAACTGCTGGCCAGGCACACTCAGCTCCAGGGGAGCTGGTCCTTCTTGCCATAGAGCTGTAGGTACACCCAGAGCTCTGCTGTGCACCTTCACTGCCATCTGTGCAGAGTCTGAAGTCCCTGGGTACCTGAGCTCGGCCTCCTCTGAAATCCCCCTTACCCCTCTGCTGAGTGTCACTGGGTCTGGGTCATTCCTGTTCTTGGCTGCCCCTGGCCATCCTGATCTCTCTCTGGAGGGCTTTGCAGTACCTTCCTTCATGGTCATAGGAAAAGAAAGGTCTGCTCAGGAGTTTATTTCTTAACACATAAGTACATCACTGGATGAAGGATGTCAAACCTGAAGGAGAAAAGGAAAAAAAAAAAGATCAGGCCACAGATCCCTTATATTTGCCACAGCCTGGAGAGATTCAACAAGACCTGAACTAGGAAAGCTAACAGCTTTCTCATGTCACTAGCTTTATACCTTTAAAAAACCCCTTTAGTTACAGACATACAAGTGACCTGCATGAATTCTCCTTTGTAACTAAACTCTTACCTCTATCTGCAACCAGGCACAAGCTTTTTGGGACAAGTGTCTGTGTTTTGAGGGAAGCATTAAGGTACTAGGATTCATAGGAAGGATGCTTCAGCCTGTGGCAAGCTGGAGACTTCACTCCAGAAATTCACAACCTCTACATCCCCTGTCTAGATGCGATCTGATGCAATGCCTACAGATGCACGGCTTGAAGACCGCTCTCCCTGTATTGGGTTTGTCCAGCAGTGAGGTCAACTACCTAAAAATGACATCAGCATCCCCACAGAACAATAGCCCATTTGCAGTCCCAGCTTCTGTGCAAACAAGTAAAGAACAGATAAAGCGAGGCTCAGCAGAGCTCAGGAAGGGAATCTTCACGCTGGGCTTGGTTATGGTTTCTGTTTGCCGGAAACCACCTGGTATTTCATCCCAGGCAGTAACAGGTTACTGTGTCCCTGTGCCCTCCCAAAGGTATTGTAAACCTCAGTCAGTTCACATCTGTTAAGTACCTGAGATAAGCAGTTAAAAGACCAAAGCAGATTTAAATGTATACACATAACAATATATACTGCATAAATAAACAACAGTGAATAGTCATAAATATTTAATAATTGCTCATCAGTTCACTGCCTTTCTGTAACTCATTTTGCCGTACTCATGCTACCTCATTAATAAAGACTTTATAATCTGAACTTCAACTAGTAGCTCTTGTATAGCACTCATACATTCAGGTTGTGTGCCTCCCTACATGTAGTAGGCATAAACTCCCAGGGACTTGAGTGGCATTGGGTATACTTGCAAGGTTATGACCTCTAGTCAATAAAGTTACAAGGATGAAATGAAGGTTCCTTTTTTGTCTGGGATGTGAAGGTGGGCACTCTGGCAGGTACCCCAGTACTAAACAATACAAATGTGAAGAATTCATAATAAATATTTCTTCAACATTTTGTCTTTGGTGGATTTTCATCTCAGAATTAAGACGAATCTATGGAGCAGCTCTACATTCCTTAGTTCAGAAAAGCCAGTGTATTTTCTGGTTGTTCCTCATAACAAAACACTACTCTCGTGCTTTTGGGCAGTGAAGACTAGAGTGGTTTTATATAAGATACTAACTTTGGACCCAGTCCAGTGTGGTTAATAATAGGTAATGCATAACATATGTCAAAGCAAAGGCTGTCATATCTGGCTGACAACTACTCACATCTCGATCGTATAACTTGGCAATGTGGGCATTTTTTTCCATAATATAAAGCAATTCCGATCAACTGCAGATTGCACTTCACAGAAGGTTCTGTTACAAGCAGATGCCAGACTCTCACTATTCATCTGGAGACATATACAGTACGTGAACAGAGTAAAGAGCTGATTTGTGATTCAAAATAAACAGTTTCCTCTACTTGGCACCAGAGGCAACACAGAGTTGCAGAGCATGCTCACCAAGCAAGTACCACAGGGTCGAACAGTTGTATCATTTCTTGAGACCCCACAGTCTGAGGACTGCAGCTCATCACACCTTGTCTGCAGCAGCCAACGCAGGTGGCCTGTGTAAGCCCTTTCCCTTCCGAGGGGTAGCACCAAGGAGACCAAGTGACAGGCCAGATCAAGTCCAGTACCCCGTGTGCACTGGGCAGGAATTGCTGACACTCCATGTTCATGTCTGAGGCCCAAATGCAAGGGCGAGACATGATAGCTAAGAATTGTTTTTGTACTCACACATATATAGATGTGTATATATTTCTGTAAATACACGTATGTATCTGTCAATATGTATGTGTATAGGGGCTTCAAAGTAAGCCTCAATTTTTGGTTCAGCATCACAGCTGATTAGAACAAAATACTTCAGTGAGTTGACACAAAATATAATAGTAGGTTCAGGTACAAAATATGCATTCTTTCAGTTGCATCTAGGCACACTGGGCTTGCGCCTTCCTAACTCTTCCTGGGAAGAGGGAAGACTAAAAAGACCTTTCCATTTCTGGTTTACTTTATAGGCAACTTCTCTGTGAAGGAACCCCACACTCTCTTGTATTTGGTGCTTTAGTTTGTTTCACATCAATTGTGTTTTATTTCAGAAGGAAAGTCAATATGATCAGTTTGTTACAGTGCTTTACTAATTGCACCACTCACCTCCAAATGGGTGAGTAGCCCATGTTTTTTCATTAAAAAGCAGCAGCCAACACTAAAGATACAGATTTGCTGGAGATTTCCATCCATTTAGAAGCTGCTCAAGTGCAATGGGCACAAAAGAACAAACTCCTTGTTGTGAGGCATCAAAGCACACATACCTGATTCAGCAGAATGGCACCATCTCAGGCTGATACAGAATTTGGCTCACACTAATTTATCATGAGTTGTTCCATATTTTCCTGGCCTTGCTGTAAGATGTTTGGAAATGGCCTGGTACTTACCGTCCTCATGCTTTTGCACCCACTTTCTGGCGCTGCATTCTGTGCCTGCTGGTGGTGAGAATCTTGGGTGAAAATTTCAGGGAAAACACCAAAGACACATGCAGGCTAGCTGTGCTAACCAGCTACAGTTTATCTGTCACTTTCTGTTGTGATCACCAAACACTTTTATGGCAATATAGAAAAGCTTGAGGCTAGCACATGTGATATCACTACATCCTCCACCAGCTGAAGGATAAGTTTGTTTACACACTCACATGTTTAGCTACTGGATTGCATGGCTATTTGCTGACAGCAGCAGACTCTGGACTAGAAGGAAGAGTTCCAATTCTCATTCCACATTTGATATGCCAGACCTAAGACTCCTTAATTTATGAATTATCAGGAATAAGTGGATTTTTATTTTTTTTAACTGAATTTTCAGGGACAAAATTCCAGTTCCTTTCCTTACAATGAAGAGTTTCTTATTGCAAACATTGTTCCAAATATACTAGTGAAAAGACTGTTCCTGACATCAGCGGACCTGTCAGACAGGTACAGGTTCACCCCATTAACAACTTAAAGGGGAAAAAAAGAACTCGCATAGAAGAGACATTTGTAAGGCTTTTATCATTTGGCCAGAGAGCAAAATAGGATATCAAGAAAGCAACTTCAAATGTATCTGCAAGGACAACATTGCACTTGGAATGCCACTAATGTTTCAGGGCTTCCTCCAAGATGTTCTCGTCCACCACCTTGTGAGGGAGAGTCACCTTCAGTGTGGCATTCTCTTTCATTGCTTGGCAGATTGTTTCATAAGCATAGTCATTACCCGACCAGCAGCGTCTGGCGACCTGTCAGACCAGAAAAATCAATGGGTGCAAAAATCGTACATTTCTCTTGCCACATCCATCTTACACAACATTTGCACAAACACTGGTACCCAATTTAATTGCAACAAATCTTTAACCCTCTGCCAGTTTCTAGTTTCCTTACGTATTTTCAAAGTCATTTTTGTAATACCTACTTTATTTTTATGAGTAGTATTTGGATGGACTTTTCATGCAGAAACATATTATTGGGCACGTAACACTGGTAGAGCCAGGTACCTTATAAACTTTACAAAATTCCCTCACTAAAAATAACTGTGCACTCTGTAAAAGTACAGCACTTGCTTTAGATAACAGTATGATTTAAGCAATTGATGTTTTTGTAGTGGGATAAATATTTTAAAATTTTAAAAAAATTTAAAAAGGAAGATGCCGCTCAATGCATTTTCAAGCTGTGAAACGAAGGAGCCAAATTCTCTGCCAGAATGTAAGGATGAAACTCCATGGACAGCCAGGGAACTGGTAGACCCCTCTTCCAACAGCAAAGCTCTGTGTTTTGATCTGCGTACAAGCAAGACTCCCCAGATGAAAAGAAAAGTTAAAATCTGGCACAAAGGAATTAAGTCCTTCCCTGTATTCAATGCCTTACAAATCTCTTACGAATTGCAAATTGTTCAAGAAAGAAAATACTTAGGTTCCAATTTAATGTAAAGCTAATAAAAGTTCCCAGGATCATACCAATAACAGCTAGAAATGAGCTTTCAAGCCAACAACTCAATTTTTGCCACTCACGTATGGTTATTCCTGGCTGTATATTTTCAAGGGTACACTCCAGTTTCTTTCCAGTCTTGTATATAATATGGGTAGCATTCTCGGATTGTCCTTTTTCAACATGTGTGTGGAGGAGTGGAACTTTTGCTTGCAATAAATCAGAGCAGCAAAAGATTTATTGGGTTTTTAATAGGCTGTCTCGGATACACAGTGCTTGTTAAGGGTTTGTCTTCATTACTCTAATCTACAAATTAATATAATTGTCCTCCTCCTTCTTCCTTAATAGTTTACTAATGTGTTGTTTCAGATCTGGGACAGAATACGTGCAAATTGTTCCTCCTCCTCTTCTACACCCAGTCATGCCAGGTCTTAAGGGGAAGAAAAAAAATGTTTAGGTCTAAGGCAAGAAGGAATTCTGCAATTCTCTTGAGAAGCAAAACAGAACAGATGTCAGCATTGGCAAGGAGCTCCCTCAATACGTCAGGTCCTTGTGAGGTTATGTGACAAACACAACAGGTTGGCCTTTAATTGGACTGTGCATCACTATGTCCTGTTGATTTCATTCCTTGCAAGTACTGAATCAAAAGTTCTCTGCCAGTTCAGAGATGAGATCCTAGTCTTAAACCCAGACAGGATTTATCTGGATACTAACAGAATGCAAAAACTCTTAACAGTAGCAAGGGCTGGAGGAGCTGGCACTTAAAGGGCAAGATACCTAGATCAAGAAGTTAGGAACAGACAAGACTAAAGTTCACATAGTTGTCAATTGGATTATGTAGGCAAACAACAATGCCACCATGTCTAACAAAATTATTGTAGGCATGCTTCCCTTTCTGCTTAAAAAAATAAAACATGCACTGAGATATATGGAAACTATCGGGTTCCAATATGTTGTAAAGTCAGAGGGGGCGGTCCCAACACATTACCAAAGAATTGTTCAGTCTCTTTTATTGACTTAAAGTCTGTTGAAGTTGGTTGGAGGGAAAAAAACCAACCAAACAACCTGTTGACTCTAGAGAAATCACACTCATAACCACCCATATTACAAGCAGTGAATAGAATTAGTCACTTGCCCCATTAGGACTATTCCTGGCATATAAAAAGCCAGAACCCAAAAACTCCTGCCTGAGTGTTCATGCTCCCATTCAGTTAAAAAGAAAAGGAGCACTGGAACTTGAGTACCTAAGCATACATAGTCCTGGAGGAAGGAAGATAGTAAAGTGAACATATGAGTTTTGCTTACTCCATTGGAAACATCCCAGCTGAGCATCATCTTAGCCCGTTCTTCAGCTTCTGTGGACCCATCCAAAACCAGGCCAAATCCTCCATTGATCACTTCACCCCTAAAAAAATATAAATGTAGCAGAATTAAATCAAAATTCGAACCAATCCCACAAAAGTCATAGGAGGGAATTTGTTCAGTTGTACTGGAAGAAGGATGAGAACATATAAATGGTGCTGAATAAGAGACACTATCAGTGACCTTTTATACTTACAAAGAAAAAAAATAGAAGTTACCTATCTCAGGGTATTTTTAAAGGTTAAGCTGTTCATGTTTGCTACACTAGAGTCTGCCATATAGATAGGAACATGAGGAAGACTGTGTACTTATTGAAGCAGACAGATGGATCTATTTATATTCTCTCAGGACAAATGAGAGAGCTTAAGTATTTTATTATAAAAGCGTTAACCACCACCTAATGCACATCTGCCTGGATCATTTCAAAAACAGTCATTCATTTTGTATGAGATGATACATAGATGTTTAAAGACATCAGTGCCAACTTTTCAGGAAGCAGACTTATTGGCAGAAGAAGAACAGAAATATGCTAAAACTAACAGATTATACTTGGGAGAAATACCAGTCTGGTTTTAAAAGGACAGGGAAAACATGTAGAGCAAAACATCTTGTTTGACTTCAGAGTCTGGCCTGCTCAAGTTCCTGTTTTGTTGCATATGGTGAATAGTGGTGAATGCAGTTGGATAATTATCTGTTGCTGTAAATCTATACGAGTTCTGGCACTATAGCTCAGCATCAGCAATACCTGAGGGACAGGGCATATCATACAACAACACGTGGTATGAGAGACTACTAATGGAAATCCCTGGAGGCAGGATTTTGTTCTCTGTGTTTTATAGTTAATGTAATGAATAAGTCTACAAAATTTACACAGAATAACATCAGACATGTCCATGAATTAAACAGGAGTTAGATGTCATCCTGTGTAGGAAGGAATTGTTTCTTGCTGTATATTTTCCAGCAGTAACTTGAGCTTCTTGGGAAATGAGGCTATACTGGAGCCGCACAGACCTGAGATCTACTTCCTGAAACTAGAACTCACATTTTCTCATTTTCAATGTAATACTTATGTGCTGTTAATTCCCTTTCACTAGTTATATACACTACCTGTGTGCTAAGTAGGACCCTATCACATAGCTGAGCAAGGAACTTAGAGCTCCAGATCTCACCACCACAGTACCATTCTGTGAATTCCCTCCACTTTATCATTATTAGATATATGATTATTACAAATACATTTTCTATTGAAAGGCACAGTTTTCTTGAAACTGACAGTTCTCACCAGCAGAATGTCAGTGAATAAATCAGTTTATCTTTAACAGGAAAATTTGAAACAAAGTCATGTTTTCAATTGAGATGTTTGAATATTGTAAGCTCTGACTCTTCAAAATAAAATGTTTCTTTTTGATTGACACTGTCAATACTTTTCAGCCTAGAATTTAATTCCCAGGATCTTTTTACTGTGTGAAATCTTTCATTAGTTCTGCTCTAAGTCTCATTTTGGGATGAAAACAAACATCCAAACATCTGCATTTCTTGCAAATTCTACTTTTTGAATAGCTCATGTTGTTACTGTCTTCTCCAAAAGAGGGGACCAGACTAGATGACAACATTACGAATGTAATTATATCAAGATCAGGGCCAGTTTCCTTGCCATACTCTGCTGCTTCTGTGTACAGAGACCAAATTAGCACTATACTGTCAAAGTTCATAAGTGTACTCTAGCTTGGTACATCACTGATGCTATTGCAATGTAATTGGGATCACAGTATGAGCACACCTCAAGACAGCCTATTGGCAATATCAGACAATAAGAAAATCAGACCTCTGGAGCAGTGCTTTATAAAGATATTCCATATGGGAAGATGATCTTTCAGTGGCGAAGATCCCCTCTGTGCACAGCATCCCAAAGAGCATCCTTTGAAGCTTAGGCATGAACAGTGAGTGTCTGATCTCACTTGCACTCCATAAATTTAGAGCCTCTCCATCAATTTCCATGGAGTTACTCCAGTGTAAATCAGAATCACTCATCAGAATCCATCATACTGTCTAAAAATCACTCGTAAATTAAGCGCCAACGTTTGTTAGGATGGATTTTCTAGCAAAACCTCTCACTTTTAAAGGGGAGCTCTCTGCCTTCATTAGTATTGGATCACATTTTCAGGTAATTAAAGAAACATGTGGCATTTTGACCTAAACTACCTCCTATAATTTCCAGACGTCTCCTTCTAAGGTGATCAAAGAAAACAAGGCCTCTCTCACAATCAAGATGTCACACTGTCAACAGTGCAGTTTGATTCTTAAATTGCTTCTGCCTTTTTGTTACTACAGGTTACTCAGACTCCGTACTAATATACATTCTCCTGCAAATAAACAGGCAGCAAGAAATTAATAACATTCATTTGCTGTAATTATAGTCAAGACTATGTTAATCTTAAGTCTTTCAAACAGCACATGTGATGCAGATTCCAGCTAAATTAATATTAATCCTGCTTTTTCTGTTTGTCCCACAAGGCTATAGCACAGAAAAATCAAAGCAGGTAAAAGGCACTTCTCTAGTCTCAGATATGTAGCCGTTCCAGGCAAGCCCAGCCTCTGCAGAGAGGACTGGGAGCTGAACACAGTGCAATTGCCATTTCTCAACTCCCTGAACAGAAACTTCCCAATGAAAATTTGATTCCTCTCTAATCATATGCATATTTGTTTTTAAATATATATATATAAGCTTCCACGTGTACTTTCACATTTCCGAATCAGCTGATGACAAGAGGATTTTATCAGGCACATGGACATTTCTTTATGCCAAAGTCAGATGAATTTTTAGCTCTCCAGAGAAAAAGAAAAACAGGGTCCTACAAACTAAAGGCATCTGTCTCTTCCAGGCAAAGAAAATAATTTGTTATGGTTGGGGTTTGATTTTCCTTCTCTTACAACCTTTAAATTATTCCTGGTTTTCTCATTAGAAGGCAAAGGAGCGCAGTGCTTTAACTAGCCAGGGTGGTGCCATGATTAGGTAAGCCAAGCAGAACCACCTGTCGTGCTGTGGCTTTCGGGGGCTCTCCAGACCACAGCATCTGATGACACGACATTGTTACCACATCTGAGTCTCAGCATGGCGGCTTATTAAGGCTCATGCAGAGACAGGCCTAATTTTCAGGCTCCGCATTCTTCACTGAAGCACAGTAATTTAATCACAGAGGGCTATGACTGCTCCTGGGAACAAGGTGAGCAGATACTGTTCCATGATGACAAGCCACTAAGCAGCCATAGGAAACGTCAAAAAGGATAACCAAACCCTGGTTTTCCATCGATATTTTGATTTCAGTGAATAGACACACGCTAATTTTCTGACACATTACATAAATGACAGCACCTCTGCTCTGCCTTGGGGAAGAGCTTCTTTCTAATGATGTAACTCCGCTTAAGAAACAACTAAAACAATACAACTGAAATTGCAGCATGATCAATGCCAGTTTTCCAGAAGTAAGGGCAGGCTCACCATTCAGCCAATCTCTTTGAATTGCTCAGAGAGCTAGAAGTGTGCAGGAGGGACTGGCCTTACAGAGGCCAGAGAGATAGGGAATATAATAAAGTGTATCCTTTGAATTAAGCATCATCAATGCACAGAACATTCATGGCATAAGCAACTATTTTAGCAATTCTAATAATTATTAATATCATAACATTCAAAATATTTTGGACAACATGTAGTGGAAAGTTATTTTCTTTGCTTGTATTTCATAAGCAGATATTTTAAAAGGTTCAACTCAGCTGAGACAATTCAGACAGATCTAGTCTGGTGGTACGTCTGGAATCTGAGATGACCAGAGTAAGAAGATATTCTGGCACACATTTTCCATTCAGAGTTATAGAAGTTGTGACTAAAATCTTGGCCATGGTGGTTGTTATCACTGAAGTCAGTAAAGGCAGATTTTCACTCTGTTTCTAAGCCCTCAGAAAGCTTTCTTATCCCATTGTTCAGTTTTGCTCTCGTGTACCTTCTATTCAGTAGTTACTTGACTGAAATGAAAGGAATTAGAGTACAGGAGAGGGAATTCTCCATCTGACAAAGGAATATTTTCTAGATTCATCTCATCCAGATGAGTAATAATTAAGTATCATCAAATGTCTCTGAGGATAACATCTGCTGCAAGTTCTTTGGCTTGCTGCTGTTGGCATATTCCAGAGCTGGATGGAACAGGGAAGTGGGAGCGTTCACTACAGTATTGCGTAGAGGATTGTGCCCCTTTTGACTGGCAATATCACAAAATGAAGACATGACTGTAAATAGGAGAGGCTTTGCTGGACTATGCTGGAAAGAACAAACCAGAACTAAAGATTCTGCAGCATGGCCAGGCTCTCCTTTTCCCTATACCTCTGTCAATCCAGAGTAACCTTTCAGTGACATATGGTGGAGATCAGTTTCCCTCTCCATATGTGATATTTCTTTCATTCTGCTTCTTAGTTTAGGAATTTTAGTCCTGCATCTTATGTGAAGGAGGTGTTTAACCCAGTCCTTACTTAACTGTGGTCTTTTATCTACGAGGCACGAGCAAGGGGAGAAAGAAGACCGGGGGGGTTTGCTGGCACCTGGGCTGTTTTGTATCAATAACCCCTCATTGCACTTTAGCACATGGGCATTTATATTGGGGTCCTAAGGTCACAGATTTAAATACAGCTTAAGGGGAAATCTAAACATAATCCATCCACTAACACTCTGGCTGTGCATGTGTGAAGACAACTTTGGAAGTAGAATCTGTTCAAAAAGACCACAGCAGACTGTCCTTGTTTGGCAAATTAAGTTCTTCAAACTGTGCTGTGGCCAATGTCCAAAACACTTTTTCTAGACATACGGGCATTAATTAAAAAATCCTCATACAACACCACACTTTACCTTATATTATTCCAATAATACACAGATCTTTTCTGCAATTCCCCTCCTGTCTCTCCTCCCCACACGCATACCCAGCAGTGGAAATGGGATTCAGAGTCCAGCTTTAGAAACAAACGAGTTCTTACCAGCCAACTCCACCACCGTTGTGCAATGCGACCCAAGTTGCTCCTCTGAACGCATCTCCTACAAAATTTTGTACCGCCATGTCTAGGAGGAGAGGAAAGATGTTATGGCTCCGACATGCTGCATTTGGGTTTTTTGTTGCACTGCTCACTCCTTCCACTAATACCTTGATTTTGGCTATGTGTAGGCAGTGTTTAGTCACAGCTTCTCTCACAGATATACAGTGAATGTCTTATTCTTGAGAGGAACAGGCAAGAGAGA